ACAAGAACATGCTCCCTCTCCTCCTCCTAGAAATAGGAGAGAGAGGAGGAACCTAGTCGATTGGGGAAGTCGAGGAGAAGCACTTCCACCTCCCCAGGACATCCAAGATGATGAAGGGTCAGATGGGCCCTGTCGATCTTATGAGATTGACGATAATGATGATAACCTCCCTTTCTCAAGGGAGATCCGAAGCTTCCCAATGCCAGCAAATTTCATGCCCCCTAAAATCCCCAACTATGAGGGAAAGGGGGATCCGGAGAAGCACCTCACCAATTACATGACACAGATGAGCCAGAGGGGAGCCTTGCCTGCTCTAAAATGCAGAGCCTTCTATTTAACACTAGGTGGGGCCGCCGAGGTATGGTACGGTAGGCTTCCTCCCCTAAGCATCAAAAGTTGGCCAGATTTGAAGAAAGTATTTTTGAACCAGTACCTCTCACGCAGGGAAGGAGAGACACCAGTTCAACGCCTGCAAGACATAAGGCAGGCCCCTGGGGAGACGCTGAAAAGCTATCTCGCCAGGTTTACAGAGGAAATTACTTACTGCGAACAGATCACTGATAGAGAAGCCCTTTCAGCCCTGAAAGGTGGGCTCAACATGAACACTTTGTTCTGGAGGGACGTGCGCAGCAAGAATCCCTCCACATATGACGAGCTGGTGGAAATGATGAGAGTGGAAATTGTTAGTGAAGAAATGATTGATCGTCGCAATCGTGCCGCACAGGGACTCCCTCCTTCTCAGAGGCAGGTAGGTCGAGGACGCGCAGCACACCTTGTTACTCAGCAATGGACCCAAGCAGGACATACCATAGCTCCCACATCTGGACAGGCCCTAGCTTCCGCCACATTGAATGCAGCACCGGTGCTGGCATATGATAATGACCCTGCCGAAGCGGGACCATCTGGAAGAGCTGATAACAATAAGAAGAAGAAGAAGAGGTCAAGCAGACCCTTGAAAGGAGCAAGGTTTTGTACGTTCCATCAACTATATGGACATGACACTAGTGAGTGTCGTGACGCCAATCGATGCCCTGATCGAAGCAACCCGCACACTTCCAGCAGGAACGAACACCCTCGCAGATCCGCCTCCCCAAGGAGAGGAATGAGAGGTCACAGGGAACAATCTCCTCGGAGGAGAGAATCAAGGGACCAAGGCCAATCCAGACAGGGAAATCAAGCCCAATTATCTGGAAGCCAGGTCATCAGGGAAATCGATACTATCATTGGGAGACCCCACGTCGGTGGCAACACTAGGAATGTCCAGAGAGATTACACAAGAGAAGCAAAGGATCCCCTAATGATCACTTACATTGTCAACGAATCAAAATCAGCAAACAGGATGGCCCCAATCACCTTCTCCCAGTAAGACTTAGAGGGAGTTCACCACCCCCATTGTGATGCATTGGTTGTAAGAGCCGTAGTGGCTAGAAACGGATTAAAACGCATGCTCGTTGACAATGGCAGTTCCGTGAACATATTGTTCGGATCCACTTTTGATAAAATGCAAATTGAACATGGGTTGATCCCCATGACCGACCCACTATTCGGATTCACTGGTGACAGCATCATCCCACGAGGGCGGATCACCCTGCCTGTCGAAATGGGTTCGGCACCCCTAGTGGCCCAGCACTTCATGGAATTTCTGGTGGTAGATCACAGATCAGCTTATCATGGAGTATTGGGCAGACCCGTTCTGAAAGATCTTTGGGTTATCACGTTCATTCACTATTTGCGAATGAAATTTCCAACCGAACATGGGATTGCTACGGTCCGAGGCGATCAGATGGGCTCCAGGGCATGCTACCTGAACTCGCTACGAAAGTCCGAGCCCCGAACTGTTAATGTAATCCTAACTGAGGTACCCGCTGAAGGCACGGACATGGAAATGCTCGACACCCCTGAACAAGGGCATACCTCCGAACAAGAGGGAGACGTCGACATGGAAGAGGCCCCTGAACAAGGACACCCTCTTGATGAGTTAGACCCCCGAATAATTGACTCTGAACCAAATACGACCCCAATGGAAGAGTTGGAAACTTTCCCCGTCAACTCGGAAGACCCCAAGTCAGGTCTTGCGTATAGGGAAGTCATTGTCACCTGAAGCAAAAGCTGAGATGATACGCTTCCTGAAAGGGAACCTGGATGTCTTCGCATGGAAACATGAAGATATGGTGGGAATAGATCCTAGGATCAGTTGCCATCACCTTAACATCAACCTCTCATATGCCTCCATAGACAAAATAAGCGTGCCCTAAATCCGGAGCGGTACGAGGCACTGAAAGACGAAGTAAACAAACTTAGCCGCAGTGGTTTCATAAGAGAGGCCATCTATCCAAGGTGGATATCCAACCCGATTCTGGTGAAAAAGCCTAGTGGAAAGTGGAGGGTATGCGTGGACTTCACGAACCTAAATAAGGCGTGCCCCAAAGACAGCTTTCCACTTCCAAGGATAGATCAACTTGTGGACTCTACTGCTGGGCATGAACTACTGAGTTTCATGGATGCATACTCAGGGTATAATCAGATACCCATGTTCCGACCTAATGAGGAAGCTCCATCGTTCATTACGGACAGGGGTCTGTATAGCTACAAAGTCGTGCCCTTCGGATTGAAAAATGCCGGAGCCACATACCAGAGGTTAGTCAACATGATGTTTGCCAAACTCATTGGCAAAACCATGGAGGTCTACGTAGACGACATGTTGGTCAAAAGCCTCCAGACGACCGAACACGTGAGTCATCTCGACCAAACCTTTCAGATACTTAGAAAGTATAATATGAAATTGAATCCCCTCAAGTGCGCCTTTGGAGTGGCATCGAGCCAGTTCTTGGGGTATATTGTAAATCAGAGAGGAATTGAGGCGAATCCAGTGAAAGTAACGGCCTTGCTAGAAATGAGGTCACCTCAGAAATCAAAGGAGGTCCAAAGTCTCAACGGCCGGATAGCCGCACTCAGTCGCTTCATCTCCAGAGCCACAGATAAAAGCTTGCCTTTCTTCAAAGTGTTGAAGCAAGGAAAGAAATTTCAATGGACTTCGGAGTGTGAAGAAGCCTTCGAGGCTCTGAAAAAGCACCTTGGAGAGGCACTCCTCTTGTTGAAACCTCAGTCGGATGAATCTTTACTACTGTATCTAGTAGTTTCGGACGTGGTAGTCAGCGCAGTCCTAATCAGGGAAGAAAATAAGCGTCAATTACCAGTGTACTACATCAGCAAAGCACTTCTCCCAGCTGAAACACGCTACCCAGACATGGAAAAATTGGCAGTCGCCCTTATCACAGCCTCAAGAAAGCTGAGGCCATACTTCCAAGCCCACTCAATCCAAGTTCTCACCAATTTCCCTCTAAAGCAGGTAATGCAGAAAACAGACGCATCAGGACGCCTGCTAAAATGGGCAATCGAGCTCAGCGAGTTCGATCTAACGTTCCGACCTCGACACGCCATCAAGGGCCAGGCCCTTGCTGATTTTATGGTACAGTTTGCCAAAACCCCAGAAATAGAGACGATAATGGAACCAGCCGAGCCTCCCACATGGAAACTGTTCGTAGATGGATCCTCGGGAGAGGCTGGCGCAGGAGCAGGGATCGTATTGGAGAGCCCGAAAGGCCACAAGCTAAATTGTGTGGTAAGGTTCGGCTTCAAAGCCTCGAATAAAGCTGTCGAATACGAGGCCCTTCTGGCAGGTCTTAGACTCGCTAAGGAGATGCGGGTCAGGAAGCTCCTGGCGAGCAGTGACTCTCAGCTCATAGTAAATTAGGTCAATGGAAGCTTCACAGCCAAAGACGGTAACATGATTGCGTACTTGAAGTTGGTTCTGGACATAATTCCTCATTTTGAAAGGTTCGAACTGACTCAAGTCCCCCGTCTAGAGAATGCACACGCAGACGCCCTTTCAAAATTAGCCAGCAACATGGACTCAGAGCTGCTAAACATCGTCCCTATTGAGCACTTATCAAAGCCCTCCACCTCCGAAGGTGAAGAGATACTGTGGATAGAAGGCACCCCATTACGGATGCAGCCCATCATCACGTACCTGAAGGAGCAAACACTACCTGCTTCCAAGGGCAAGGCGAGGAAATTAAGAAGAAGGGCTGCACACTTCATCCTACAAGAAGATACCCTTTACAAGAGAGGCTTCGCCTCGCCCCTTCTTCGATGCATAGGAGGCGAAGAGGCCACATACATACTCAGGGAAATCCATGAAGGAATCTGTGGAAATCACTCCGGAGGAACGGCTCAAGCACACAAGGTCCTCCGTCAAGGCTACTTCTGGCCGACCCTGAAAAGGGATGCTTGCCAATTTGTCCAGAAATGTGACAAGTACCAGCGCTTCTCGAACATACAAAGACAGCCTGCTCAGAGCCTCTCCGTAGTAACCAGCCCTTGGCTATTCGCCAAATGGGGAATTGACTTCATTGGTCCACTCCCAAAAGAGAGAAGAAGTGCAACTTTCGCTATTGTCGCCATTGACTACTTCACTAAGTGGGTCGAGGCTAAACCCCTTGCCAGAATTACCGAGGCTAACACTAACAAGTTCGTTTGGAAAAACATCATTTGTAGATTCGGCATTCCCCATTCCTTAGTGTCTGATAACGGAAGGCAGTTTGACAATAGAAAGATGCGAGACTTATGCGACGAACTGGGCATAAAGAAGGACTTCTCGACACCTCATCACCCCCAAGCGAATGGGCAAGTTGAAGCAGTGAACAAGACTATCAAACACACCCTGAAAAGAAAACTTGATACCTCAAAGGGGGCCTGGGTTGATGAACTCCCCCACGTCCTCTGGGCTATCAGAACTTTTTGCCGGACTGCAACCGGTGAAACCTCGTTTTCCATGACCTACGGAGCCGAGGCCATGAGTCCTGTCGAAGTCGGGGTCCCATCACATCAACAG